GCTGCCAAATTGCAGCTCCATATGTTTCCTTTTTTGGTATTTCCACGCAAATTCTTCTGCTAGTTGGGGTTTAGTCCAAATCTGCATCCTTTCCTTCAAGGCTCAGGGGTCCAGGATTATCTTCTGTGTCTGTGCTAATTGGTTTCCCTCTTCTTTGTTGAAGAGGGTCTGTGCAGTCTTCCTGCCTAGCCCGCCATCTTGCCGGAAGCTCCAGCTTCAATTTGAACTTGCATATAATTGATGATCTGTTATATAGCCAGCCCCTGGCTTTGTTCTGACTGATGATATTAGGCTTCTCCATTGTCTCTTTCCACAGATATAGTTGATTTGATTCCTGTGTGTTCCATCTGGTAAGGTCTACCTGCACAGTAGCCATTTATATTGTTGAAAAAAGATACTTGCAATGAGTAGGTCACTAGTCTTGCAAAATTCTGTTGTTTCTATCACCAAAGTTATGTTTTCCAACTACTGATCCTTTCTCTTTGTTTCCAACTTTAGTATTCTAATCATCAATGTTCACGGCAGCATTATTCACAATAACCAAAAGGGGAAAAAAAACAAGTATTCGTCAACAGATGAATGGAAATGTGGTATACACCCAGACAATGGAAATTTGTTCAGCCATAAAAAAGAATGAAGTTCACATGCTGCAAATGGATGATCCTTGAAAACATTATGCTAAGTGGAAAAAAAACAGACACAAAAAGACAAATATTCTATGATCCACTTATATGAGATATCTAGAATAGGCAAAAGCATAGAGATAGAAAGTAGATTAGAATTTACCAAGGGCTGAGAGGGAAGGAAGAATGGGGAGTTTCTGCTTCATGAGTACAGTTTCTGTTTAGGGTGATGTAAAGGGCTTGGAAATAGATAGTGGTGACAGCTGTACAACATGATGAATATAAGTAATGTTACCGAATTATACACTAAAAAATGGTTAAAATGGCAAATTTCATAGTATATATATTTTGGCATCATTAATAAATAAATAAATAGATAAATAAATAAATAAAAAGATATGAGCTACCAAGTAAATGAAAGACATGAAGGAACCTTAAGTGCATGATTCCAATCATATGACATCTGGAAAAGGCAAAACTATAGAGACAGTAAAAAGATCACTACACCTACTCTTTACTTATTGACTATCTTGTTATCTAACATTTCACATTTATGACAACAATAAAAAAAAATCTACTATCCGACTATTTTGTACATTAAACAACATACATTTGGCAGTAACAAATGCCAAAATAATGCTAGAGTAATGTTGGCTGTCAAGGTTAAGGTTATGGGTCAACATGGCTGTGCCATGATTCTCAGTAGTTTGGCCATTATGTAACAATGCAGTCATCTTCATTTTCATATAATGCTAATTTTGCATAATGACCTAGTCTTTGGAATCTAACCATTTTGATAAATCAAAAGTAGGGATGGTTATCAGGGGAGAAGAGAGGAGGAAGAAAGGATGAGTAGATGAAGTACAGAGATTTTTAGGGTGGTGTAACTATCTGAGAGAAAGATGTGGCAGTCTGCGTCTGTAAAGATTTATAGTCTTGGAAACCCTACAATATCCTATAGGGTGGTGATGAGTCAGAACTGACTCCAGAGCAATGGGGTTTGAAACTATTCCATATGATACTGTAATGGTGGACATTATGCATTTATGAAAATCCAAAAACGAAGAATGAACCTAAATGCAAACTATGGACTTTGGTTAATAATAATGTATCAACATTGGTTCATTAAATGTATCACACTAATGCAAACCAAAATCAAGTTGACACAAAGTTATGATAACACCATGTGTTACACAAAACTGCTCTACAAGGTTATAATCTTTATAGAAGTAGATTGCCAAACCCTTTCTTCTGTGGTGCTGCTGGGTAGGTGGGAACCAACAACCTTTAGTCTAGTACAAATCGTTAACATCATCCAGGGACCTTAATAACAGGGAAACTGTGTAAAGGGGAAGAGGAAGATGAGAAATCTCTGTCCTATCTGCTCAATTTTTTGGTAAGTCTAAAACTATTCTAAAAAAGAATGTGTATTATTTAAGAAAAAAGATCACTTGGCAAACAAATTTAGAGACTGAACTTGCAGGGAGCTAAAGAAAATCAGTTTGAAGACTATGGCAATACCAACTTACCCTCATACCAACAGTGTACCAGAGTGTATTTAGTCCCATCTGTTCCTACAGTGGGTATTATCATTGTTGGTGGAAAAAACCTGATTTTGGTTTACATATCTTTAATGATTAGGAAGGCTGAGCACCTTTTTTATAAGATCATAGATTATTTGTTTTTCTGTTCTTTCCTGTTTTTTTGCTGGATTGGTTGTCCTTCTCTTATTCTTTTTCTTTTTTTCCTGTCCTTTCCTTATTGATTTACAAATTCTTTTGAGTTTAAAAAAATAAGACTTCGGTATTTCATCACAACTTTTAAAACTTTATCTTTTGATTTTAAAACTTATTTTTGATCACTGAATAATATTTCATCAACATAATATAGTTTTCTAACCGTTGAAGACAAGTTCTTTGTTGTTGTTGGGTGCTGTCGAGTCGTCTCTGACTCATAGCGACCCTATGTACAACAGAACTAAACACTGCCCGGTCTTGTGTCAGCCTCATGATCCTTGCTACACCTGAGCCCACTGTTGCAGCCACTGTGTCTATCCATCTTGTTGAGGGCCTTCCCCTTCTTCATTGACCCTTCACTTTACCAAGCATGATATCCCTCTCCAGGGAACGGTTCCTTCTGACAACATGACCAAAGTAGGTGAGGTGAAGTCTGGCCATTCTCGCTTCCAAGGTACATTCTGGCTACACTTCTTTCAGGACAGATTTGTTAAGTCCTTTTAGCAGACCATGGTACTCTTAGCATTCTTCGCCAGCACCACAACTCAAAAGCATCAACTCTTCTTCAGTCTTCCTTATTCACTGTCCAGCTCTCACACGTGTAAGAGGTGATTGAAAATACCATGGCTTGGGTTAGATATACACCTTAGTCTTCAAGGAGAAAAAAGTTCTTTGCAGTTTTTCAGTACTACAGATGTCATTATGAAAATCTTTGTACACAGACCTTTTTTTTACATAATGAATTCTTTCCTATGAATAGATTCTTGGAAGCAGATATACTGAATCAAAGATTAAAAATATATTTTTATGACTGTGATGTAACTATGAGCAATGTATTTAAATACCAAGGTCACTAGGTATTATACTCGTAAATATTCACAAGTACTAGGTAGTAAATATTTAAATTATACTTGGTAATTTAGTAGCATAAAATCTTTCCTTTATTAATTTGTACTTCTAATTATTGGTGAAAATCAACATCTTGTCACATATTTACTTGTTTTGTTTCTTCTTGAGAAATTTTGGTTTACATTCTTTGCTCACTAATCTAAAAAAACAGAATGTTTTTTCTTTGTTGAACCCAATAACTCATGTATATAAATATTTTAACCAATATTCTTACTAATAATAGATTAGCCCTTATTGTTCCTACTTGCTGCAATTATTTTTCCCATTATATTGTTTTCCTTTTAATTTTAGATATATTTTTGTCACAGGAATTTTAATTTTTATGAAGGCAAGACTAATAATTTTTCCTTTGTGAGTTCCTCATTTCTGAGCTTAAATTATGCTCCATTTGGTAGTTTAAAACTTACACATTTTCTTTGCTTGTTTGTACAGTTTATTGTTGTTAGGTCTGTCAAATTGGCTCTGATTCATAGCAACACTATGTACAACAGATTCAATCTTTGTCTGGTCCTGCGCTATCCTCAAAATTGTTGCTACGTTTGAGTCTACTGTTGCAGCCACTGTGTCAATTCGTCTCATTGAGGGTCTTCCTTTCTTTTGCTAACCTTTTACTTTACGAAGCATATCGCTTTCTCCAACAATCATTCTCTCCTGATGACGTGTCCAAAGGAAGCGAGACAAAGTCTCACCATCCTTACTTCTAAGGAGCATTCTGGCTATGCTTCCTCCAGGACAGATTTGTTTGTTCTGCTGGTAGTCCAGGGAATATTCAATATTCTTTGCCAATGCCACAATTCTTCTTTGGTCTTTCTTACTATCCAGCTTTTGGATGCATATGAGGCAATGCAAAAAACCATGGCTTAGAGCAGGTGAATTTTAGTTCTCAAAGTGGTATTTTTGCTTTTTAACACTTTAAAGAGGTCGCTTGCTACGGATTTGCCCAATGCAATATGTCATTTGATTTCCTGACTGCTGCTTCCATAGGCACTGATTGCTGACCAAGAAGAATAAAATCCCTGACAATTTCCAATTCTTTGCCATTTATCATGATGCTGCGTAATAGGCCAGTTGTAAGGACTTTTGTTTTCTTTATGTTCAGGTGTAAGCCATACTGAAGGCTATATAGTCTTCTACCCTTATCAGTAAGTACTTCAAGTTGACTTCACTTCTGGCAAGCAAGGTTGTGTCATCTGGTTATTTCAGGTTGTTAAAGAGTCTTCCTCTAATTCTGATTCCACATTCTTCTTCATACAGCCCAACTTCTTGAATTATTTGTTCAGCATATAGATTGAACAAGGTCGCACACTTTTTCAAATTTCAAAACATGCAGTATCCATCCTCTTGTTCTGTTTGAATGTCTGCTTCTTGATTCATGCACAGGTTGCATATGAGCACAATTAAGTATGCAGTTTAATGATTCATATTAAACTCTTTAATCTTGCATATCTATTTACAATAATGAAAGCTAACATTTATTGAATGTTTACTATATTATAGGTGCTATTTTAGGCTCTTTATACGTTTAACTCATTTAATCCTTACAGCAACCTGATGGGTTAGGTATTATTAGTAATCCAATTTTGCAGATGAAGACACTAAGGCTTAGTGCGGATAATTCAGCCACAGTCACATAGGTAGTAGTACACTCGCTATACATAAATATTAAGCAATGTACTCTGACTCCAGAGCTTCTGCTTTTAAGTATTACACTATGTGGATACTCAATGTATCTCACTGCCACTTTTTTTTTTTTTTAATTTTTTATTGTGATTTGGGTGAATGTTTACAGAGCAAATTCATTTTCATACAGCAGTTCATACACATTTTGTTTCATGACATTGACTGCATTTCCCCATATCTCACTGCCACTTTTACTGAATATTCTCTTTTCTTAAGCATTGCTTTGTGATGCTTCTTTTAGCTACTGAAATTTTTTTCAATGTCTCTTCTGGACTATTTAATTTGCTCTCTTGATTTGCTTTTCTTACCATAACAATACATGGCTTTGCATACTGTAGCTAAAAAATGTTTTAATACTTAGAAGGTGTAGGATATGTTGTAGCACACTTTTAAGAAGAATATCAAGTACTTGAGGAAAAGTGTAGTTTTAAGATATCCTTACCATACACTGGTGTCTTCCCTGGCAGGATGACGATAATGAGCTGCAGCCCTGAGTAGGTGTTCTTGAGATGCCGGAACATGGGCTCCACACTGTCTGCCCCCTGCGCATATTTGCAGAAGCAAGGCTGGCCCTGGATGGGCATCCCTGCATCCTTGGAAATCTTCCGCAGCTGGTCCGTGAAACCCCTAGAAGGACAAACCACTAAAACTAAAATCTTTGTCTAGTCATCAATACCTGTATTAAGTAGTAAAAGTAAAGTTTAGGAAGAGAATGGAAAATGATGCAAAGATCTGTGTGCTCCATATGAAAGAGGTCACCAGGCTAATATTATTAAGTGCAAAGATGGGTCAGTAATCTACTTGGGAACTAAAAACAGCATCGCACAATTGATATGTTCGATATTAATACTTACTTTGTATATAATATAGTATTTTGTAGTTCATAAATAGATTCAGTACTAGGCAAGAGGGGAGAAAATGTCTACAGTCAGCAAGGTAAGTTCTAATCCCAGACCCGCTACTAATTATTTCAGTTTTCTTTACCTAAAAATGATTACTTCCATTATAGAAATGGTATGAAGATTAAACATCTTTTCCTAAAAATGATTACTTCCATTACAGAAATGGTATGAAGATTAAATAAGATAATGCATATAAAGCGCTTAGCCCACTGTTCAAGACAGGGTTAAAAATTGATAAATTTTAGCTACTGTACATTTTTAAATTTTATACTGACAAAATTCATAAGAAAGCAGTAGGTCATGTGTCACTGCCATTTTATAGATCAGGAAATAGCTCAAGGTCATTAAGTATTGAGCCAAAGTCAAGTTGCTTACATAAATGGCAGGGCTAGAACCATGATCCGGTCCAGAATTTCTTTCCACAATAGCATGTACCTCAAACTAGGACAGCAGGAAAGATTAAGACCTCAGAAGAGCTTAAAAGTAAAGCAATGCAAAACAAAGGTGGCAGGCAGCCCTTTAATATACTTTCAACTACATTGAAAAACAAAAACAAGTAAGTTCATATTTAAACAAAATTCTGGATTTAGTCTAGCATAAGTGAGTAATGATGTGAGGATTTTATAATCACTTTATTTATTTGTTTCTAAAACAAGTAAGAAACTAACTTGAAGATCTGAGAGATTTTCACTCAAAAACACTCTGTCCTTCTCAGGACAGAAATAAAGTTGTAGGAATTTGAATATATTAGTCAGCCGGAACAAAAACCATAGGCCCAATGATTATCAGACCTCTATTCAAGTCATGAATAACAAATGAAGTAAAAATAACAACTCTTAAGTTTCGAAATAGTGCCTTGGAAACCCAAGGAGGGGTCGCTATGAGTAGGGGCCGACTCGACAGCAAACAACAACAACTACAAGTTTTGAAAAACAACCGGAGCTATTTTCCTTGGCCTTTGAATGTCATACAAGACAATCAATATTGTAATAAACTGTCCTTTTAACAGTTTACTTGAAAGCAGTGGGATGAAAATCAAATTAAATGATCATTAATATATAAATTTAGAGACTTAGGATTAATAAGAAGGAATGAACAGAGTTAGACAGATTTTTTTTTTTTTTTAAATTCTCATATAAAGGAGATAGGGAAATTCTGAATTGACTGGGGTAAATTGGTCTCTATATCACTGATGGACCATTTATAGTGGTCCTACTTTATATGGGCTATTAGTGGAGATTTAAATTAGATTACAACAATTCTCTTAAGTAAATTACTATCTAGAGAGGAAGATATTTATACAAATAATTACAACACAAGGCAGAAAGTGACAAGCGCAAATAGATATTAATTACTATGTTAATTTAGAGGTGAGACAGACTATTTCCTGCCTGAAGAATCAGAGAAGATGGGTAGTATTTAGATAGGAAGATACAGCAGGGGAGCATTCTCAGTAGAGAACAGCATGAGTGGAAATAGGAAAAAAACGCTATCGTGTATTAGTTTCTTTGTTTAGAATATATGAAAAGAGAAATGTAATGAGAAAAGATTAAAGAATCAGGTAAAAGATTTTAAATATCAAACTTGTTTTGAATGCTATTCTTTATCAACGAGACACTGAATAGTTGTGGAGTAATCGTAAGAGGAGCTGGTGTTCTTTTATGCCAGCACAACTTCCCAAACAAGGGTGACAGTAGAAGACTTTGAGACTGTCAGATCCAAAGGAGTAAGACAGCAAAGGGAAAAAGGAACCAGACAAAGTGGAGAAGAAAATGGAACCAGGAAGGTAAGAGGGGAGAAAACGTCAAGAAGGTAGTTAACTGTCACTAATGCTGTATTTATTTTGAGGAAAATAATGGCCAAGAAGGAATCATTAGACTTGATGAGCACAAAGATACTGGCGATCTTCTAGGACTAAGTTTCAGTAGAGTACTATGATTTCAAGGAAGGAGAAAGGATGGAAGACTGAGAGAATAAATTAGGTAAATTAAAAATGGAAGTGTAAAAAAAAAATTGGACAGAAGATTGTTGAATACTTATATGCTGATGGAAAGAATCTGGCAAAGATGGGGGAAACGGCAGAGATCAAATTTTGGAAAGGAAGGCAGTACAAATGAGTTGTTTAATCCCACTCTTTTAAAAACTCAATTGAGAAACAAGGAGGGACGAAACAAAACAAACAAAAACCAAACTCACTTCCATCAAGTCTGATCTGACTCACAGAGGGCCCTATTGAGTTTCTGAAGCTGTCAATCTTTATGGAAGTAGATCGCCCCATCTTCCTTCTGTGGAGCAGCTGGTAGGATTGAACCACTGACCTTCTGGGTAGCAGACAACTGCCCTATCCACTACACCACCAGGACAGTTGTTAAAATGGAACTTAGAATTAAGAGACATATTTTCTTTTTTAATGGGACAGCTAAGCATGTTTTGGGCTATGACCGAAGAGCCAGTTAAGAAAAATATGTTGAAGAAATGAGAAAATTTATGCCTACAGGCCCTGGAAGACATGGAAAGGAATATGACAAAAAGCACAGAATAAGCCTGGAGGAAATGTGCAGAATGGTAGAATAAAAACATCTCTTGCTCTCACATGGAAGGAAAGAAAAGGAACACAGGCAAATAAACACTTAGAACATATAAATAGCCTCAACTCTAAAGTCTAAGTTCTACCTTAAGTTTTATTTTCTATTGTAACAAAAGCTAAAAAAAAAAAAAAAAAAAAAAAAAAAAAAAATTACAACCAAGAAGCAGGGGTCCCCCAATTTCTTCCTTGGGAGAAGCTATATTTTATTTCTCACAAGCCTTTGGATTAGGTTACGGTGATCAGAATGAAGATGCTTAATGGGGAAGGGCAGTACTACTGATCTATGATCATTAAATTTAAGAAAAGTGGAGCTTGGTGGCAGCTGCTGCTAAGAAGGTATACAAAGAAGTAAGAAAAGAAAGTAACAACCATGATCAATTAATTGCAACTTTATGCTATGCACCTTACACTTGTCATCTTATTTAATCTTCACCCTTTATGTAGGTACGACAGGTTGGTAAGTCAGTTTTGACTTAAATCAAATCTCTTTTAAAAATTTTTGTTACAATTGCTTTTTATTATCAGTATCTTTATAAATATGGTTTTGTCTTTGGGTGTTGGAAACATTACAAATAAACATATGTGAGTGAACATCTGAGAATAACATCAGTAAATGGCTTGATGCAACACTGTATGCAAAACAAAAGGAAAAAAAGATGGTCATAATGTGGAGTTGTCATAACACATGTTTTAAGTCAAGAATTATCTGTATTCACTCTTTTACAAGGATGAAAATGGAAGCAAACTGAGATTAAATAAATTATCCATGGTAATACAGTTAGGAAGTGGCAAAGCTGGGAATCACACTAACCTATTTGCCATCAAAAACCAATGATGCCACTGCTATAACTCAAACCTATTACTGGTTGAACTGTGTCCCCAAAAAGATATAGTTAAGTCTTAAATCTGTTCCTCCCACTCTACCTCAGTGAATGTAATCTCATTTGGTAACAGAGTCTTTGCAGATATAATTAGTTAATAGGTCATTCTGGCATAGGATAGGCTTGATTCCAATATGACTGGTATCTTCTTTATAAAAACAGTAGAGAGAAAGAAACTGACACAGAGTGAAGGTCGTGTCAAGATGGAGGCAGAGATTAAAGTTATGTTTCCATAACAAAGGAATACCTGGGGCTACTAGAGCTAGATGAGATAAGAAAGGATCTTCCTCCAGAACTTTTGTAGAGAGTACAACCCTGAGGACACCGTGATTTCAGACTTCTGGCCTCCAGAACCTGGAGATAATAAATTTTGTTGTTTCAAGCCACTCAGTTTATAATAATTTGTTAAGTCCTAGGAAACTAAGACTCACCACTTGCCTGTCAGTTTGTCATACTGTGGTGGCTTGTGTGTTGCTGGGATTCTAGATGCTATGCCACTGATATTTCAAATGTAGCAGCAGGGACTTCCAGTAAGATGGTGGAATATACAGATAAGCTACACAGACCCTCTTCAACAAAGACAAGAGAGACCAACTGATGCAAATACCAAAGATAATCCTGAATCCCTGAGCTTTGAAAGGAAGGATACAGAAGTGGATTAAATACCAACTAGTAGAAGAATCTGAATGAAAACAGTGAATAAGGAGACAAAGGGAGCTGTGACAGTCGGCTGTTCTGACAGCATGGCCAGCTTGATATTTACATGTGGTGTCGGGACCAGGGCAGTAACCTAAGAATTGGTCCTGCTTGCCAAGGGCTGCATGGACAACTACACTGGTAGCTGATGACCAGAAAGGAAAACAGCAAATAACTAGAAAAACTGAGCTATGGACTTTCCGCTGCCCTGAAGGTGCAGCCATTTTGAATATTTACAAGTGGTGTGGCCATTATAGATATTTAAAGTGGCATCATTCCTATTCTAGCAACCTAAGAATAGGCTCTGCTTGCTGAGGACAGCATGGGCAACCACACTGGAGGCTGACGGATGGAAAAATGCGGGCATTCCCCTTGTTTCTCTTATACCCCACACCCTCTTGGTGAACAGAGGTGCAGCCATCCACCACGACCTCCACCCACCTTCTGGCCCAGCAGGAATTTCATCCCCGTCTGTGTGTTCTGATGGAGCCTGGGTGCATCCCTCCATTTGTTTCTTTTTATTCTTTTTTTCTTCCGTTTTATTTTTACTCTTTCTTTTTCCTTTCCCAGGTTATAGTTTCCGGTTTATTTTGCTTTCTCATTTCCTGGTTCCCATCTTTTCTCTTTCTTTTGATTCTTCCTATCCCTTGTTTTTCTTTCTCCAGTTTTCTCATTGTTTTTCTTTCTATTCTTTTACTTTTGCTCTTTTCTGTACCTGCCCCTCCAGATACTGTTTTTTTTCCCTCTATTTCTTTTGTCTTTTGAAAGTACTCCTTTTAAATATTTCTTCTCATCTATTGCCCCCCCCCCTTATTTTATGTTTGTGATTTGTTTCTGTGTGTTTATGTGGTTTGTGTTTTTGTCCTCTTGCTTTTACTTTTTTGGTGGTTTTTTGATTGCTGTTTTTGTCTAACTGAGTGGTAGACAGCAACTGTGCCCATACAACCCAACCATACCCGCATATCCTACAGCCCCACCTATTGAGTGAGGGCCACCACTTCCTTCTGCACCAACTGGCCAACAATAGATGACAGCCAATACGAGCCTGATTTACCCTTAATTGCTCTTCACAAAGAGCTAACAGAGATCTGTGCGCCTACTCTCATTCTCTATCACACCCAATTATAGCTGCAGGGTCACTCATGGTGAACAGGTTTCAGTAGAGCTTCCAGACTAAACAGAGTTGGAAGAAGAGCTTGGCAGTCCACTTCTTAAAAACTGACCACTGAAAACCTTATGAATAGCACTGAATACTGTCTGATATATTACTAGAAAACTTTGCAAACAGCAGTGAAACACTGTCTGATATAGTGCTAGAAGATGAACCCCTCAGGTTGGAAGGCACTCAAAATACAATTGGGGAAGACCTGTCTCCTCAAAGTAGGAAAAACAAAACAAAACAAAACAGACCCACTGCTGTCAAGTCGATTCTGACTCATAGCAACCCTTCCTCGGGTTTCTGAGACAGGATCACTATGGAAGTAGATTGCCCGGTCTTCCTTCTGAGGAGTGGCTGGTGGGTTTGAACTGCCAGCTTTCTAGTTAGCAGTCAGGTCCCTGAGGTACTATGCCACCAGAGCTCCTCCTCAAAGTAGAGTCAATCTTAATGATATGGGATGGAATAAAGCTTTCAAGACTTTCATTTGCTGATATGACAAAAGTCAAAATGAGAAGAAACAGCTGCAAATATTCATTAATAATCAGAAAATGCAATGTACAAAGTATAAATCTAGGAAAATTTGAAATTGTCAAAAATGAAATGGAATACATAAAGATCAATATACTAGGCATTGTTGTTGTTGTTGTTATTTGCCATCGAGTCGGCCCCGACTCATAGCGAACTGCCAGCCTTCTGGTTAGCAGTCAAGTGCCTTAGGCACTATGCTACCAGAGCTCCTATACTAGGCATTGTTGTTGTTGTTGTTATGTGCCGTCAAGTCGGCCCCGACTCATAGTGACCCCTCCTTGGGTTTCTGAGGCAGTATCACTACGGAAGTAGGATTGCCCAACCTTCCTTCCGAGGAGTGGCTGGTGGGTTTGAACCGCCAGCCGTCTGGTTAGCAGGCAAGTGTCTTAGCCACTATGCTACCAGAGCTCCTATACTAGGCATTAGTGAACTGAAAAGGAATGGAATTGGCCATTATGAATCAACAGAATGTTCCTTGGAAGTGAGAATGGCCAGACTTCTTGTGTACTTTGGCCATGTTGTCAGAGGGGACCAATCCCTGGAGAAGGATCTCATGCTTGGTAAAGCAGAAGGTAAGCAAAAAAGTGGAAAACCCTCAACGAGACGGATTGACACAGTGGCAGCAATGATGAGCTCAAGCATAGCAACGATTGTGAGGCTGGCACAGGACTGGGCAGTATTTAGTGACTGTACAGAGAGTGTCACTATGAATTGGAACCAACACAACAGCACCTAACAAACAGCAGGAAGCTAAGATAGTCTATTAGGATATTTAGAAGAATAAGTTGATGACTTTCTTATGGTTAACAACTTAGGAATCTTCATCAAACTACTGAAAAGAAACCTATTGGTTAGAACATTAGCTGAGTAATTTAAAACTGAAATATAGATCTAAATATAAAAAGGTTTCAAAGCCAGAGTAATGACATGCCTTACTTCAGTATTTCTTCTCTGCACTGCCTCTGTGTGGCAAAACAAGCTATAGCCCACATTTTGATTTCAACGCCTGTGTGGAACTGTTTCCCTCGCATGTCCCACACTCCGTGGCTTGGTGTTGCTACTGTTCGATTCTACAGAAAAAGATGAAAGAGAAATAAAAGGCAAAAAAGAAAAAAAAAAAAATTAACACAGAATTTATTTCAATGAGCTGAAAATAGACTATTTCAAATTGCTGAACTGAAATATTTGGTTCTCTACATGGAACAGATGATTCTATCTCAATATTATTTATACTTTTATTATAAAAAAAAAATTCTACTAAACTCACGCAAAGATACGAACCTTAAAAAAAAAAAACAAAAAACAAAAAACTTTTGGAACAATAAAACCCTTTCTAAATTCCAGGCTTAGCTAGGATGCCCTTCCCTCCTTACTTAGAAACTTTATGTAAGATTAAAAGCCTATCAAGAATTTTTACCCGTCCTCCATACTGTAGCATAGGTGCTGGAAGTACGCGTCCGGTTACATGTGCCATTTCATCCCGAACTTTAAATTGAAACTCCTGAACAAATGGATCTGTTTCATAATTTGCACTTCTTACCTAACCACAGAAAAAGTTTGTAGTTATTCACAAAATTGCAGAAAATCCTGTTTTACTCATTAGAACTTTCTACTGATTTTTCCTTCCCTGTGTCAACAATGTGTTTTGCATTAGGTCTTGTTAATAGTGCCTAATCATAGAGAAGAGAATCTTAAGTTGGCAACCATGGGTTATGAATGGACTGCAAAAAGTCTGCGAATTCCCTGATATTTATACAAAATTGAAATGTATGTATTACAATAAATCGTAAGAGATTTTCATTGTTTGTAACCCATAAAAATAGTAATTTTATATGATTAAACCTAGTACGTTTTGGGATGGTAATCTGTACATCACAATAGATTCTCAAAGAAATACCTGACCTAAAAAAGGTTAAGAATCCCTGATTATAGAGGATCCAGACATACACTATTAAAGGATTATTTTACATAGTTTGATAGTAAATATTATTGTAAATCCATGGATCATCCTAAAGCTTTCTCCCCTGATTGAGTTACAATTTATATAAAATTTACTTCAGCATTTTCAAAAAAGTAGTGCTATGTTATAAAATTTACTTAAGATGATAAAATTGAGAGCCTGTATGAGTTACAGTACATAACTTTTACATAACATAGTCACATATAAAATCAAAGATAAAGAATTAATTATAATTCAGTGTAGACTTTTGGAGTCTAAGAATGTAATTCATGCTTAAAGCATACTTTTATACATTGTTCTCAGGGTGAAGGTCACACAGATTATTTTAAAAAAGGTTTTAGTCTTTGAATAACAATACATTAAAAAAAAAACCCCAAAACCTATATAATCTGAATATGTAAAAAGAATCTCCCCCTAATAGGTAGCAAACTCATTTTCTGTATTAGTACTAATCCATTTTTTTCTTCAAGTTTAAGTACCATTCATTTTTAGTGTGTGTCAATGTACCTCCATTTTAAAGTTACAACTTTAACAACTATTTACAAAGACATACTGCATGGTGTGCTTGGTGTTAAGAGCTTCAAAATTAATTTTCACAATTACCATATGAGTTCACCTTTTTATAATCTTTATTTTACAGAAGATAAAACTAACACTAAGTAAATTTAAATGATTTTCCTAAAAGCAAATGACACAGAGATTTTTTAATCCATCTATGTTCCGATTCCAGCTTTTCTACTTTTAATCACTCCACTTCTAGATGCTGTAATTATAATAAAACATAATAGTAGTATAAGTAAGTAGCAAAGATAAACTCCAAAAACAAGACTGTTAGACTCCAAAGCCTGCGCTTTTAACCAGGATATAATAATGCTGTCTCTGAACAATTAAGTTGTAATAAATGAGAACAGCTAGTTATTATCATTTAACAGAATAAGAGACAATGAGAGGTTCTAGTCTTTTTTAAAAAATACTTTATTGTGTTTTAGGTGAAAGTTTACATAACATACTAGGTTCCCATGTAACAATTTTCATACACATTCCTCTGTGCCACTGGTTACAATTTTTACAATGTGTCAGCATTCTCGTTATTTTCATTGATCTAGCTTCTCTTCTCTTCTCCTTGCCTTCTCATCTTTGCTTTTGGGTAAACGTGGACCATTTGGTCTCATACAGTTGATTGCTGAAGGAAGCACACAGTGGTACTTTTATTTTATAAGCCAATCTATTATTTAGCTGAAAGATGATCTCCAGAAATAGCTTCAGTTCCAAGTTCAAAAGCTATTTTAGTATGACAATCTTGGGGTTGGCTCTAGTCTCTATTGGTCCAGTATGTCTGGCCTTTTAAAAATTTGATTTTTGCTCTACATTTATCTCACATCCTACCTGGAATCTTCAATTGTGTCCCTGGTCAGAATGGTCAGTAGTAGTAGGTGGGTACCATCTAGTTTTTCTGGTCTCAGGTTAGAGGAGGCCATGAATTGGGTGAAATGTTAGTCCTGTGGCCTAATTTCTTCTCCGAGCCTTTGTTTTCCTTCATTCTCTTTTGCTCCATAAAAGTAAGACCAACAGTTGTATCTTAGATGTCCGCTCACAAGCTTTTAAGACCCTAGATGCTACTCACCAAACCAGAACGCAGAATATCATCTTTATGAACTATGTGATACCAACTGACTAAGCTGTCCCCTGAAACTATGGTCCTAAGCCTTTACCCAGGAGCTCTGATGGCATAGTGCCTACGGCACTAGACTGCTAACCAGACGACTGGTGGTTCAAACCCACCAGCCGCTTCTTGGAAGGAAGGTTGGGCAATCTACTTCTGTAGTGATACTGCCTCGGAAACCCAAGGAGGGGCCTCTACGAGTTGTATCCAACTTGACAGCAGTGCATTGCATTGTAAGCCTTTACCCAGTAAACCAATCCGTAAGCTGTTTGGATATGTTTAAGAAGTCTCCATAACTGTGACCCCTATGTGCTCTGTTATATATATGGATATTGTTGTTGTTGTTGTTATGTGCCGTCGAGTCAGCCCCGACTCATAGCGACCCCTCCTTGGGTTTCTGAGGCAGTATCACTACGGAAGTAGGATTGCCCAACCTTCCTTCCGAGGAGTGGCTGGTGGGTTTGAACCGCCAGCCGTCTGGTTAGCAGGCAAGTGACTTAGCCACTATGCTACCAGAGCTCCCTAATATATACAACCAAAACTAAACTCATTGCTATCGAGTCATTTCCAACTCATGGCAACCCCTCCTTGGGCTTCTGAGGCAGTATGTCCATGGAAGTAGATTGCTCAATCTTCCTTCTGAGGAGTGGCTGGTGGGTTTGAACTGCCAGCCTTCTGGTTAGCAGTCAAATGCCTCAGGCACTACACCACCAGAGCTCCATGGATATATATAGCACACATGAATGTTTATAAATGTGTATCCGTATTCCTACAGATAGACGTAGATATACATGTGCATTTACTTGCATATACATATATGCATATATATCTACCTATGAAACCACACACATAATTTTTGGTTGTTGCTACCAGTGCTACAAAACTGTGAATGCTATACACTCTTTACTGAAATTGTTCCTTTGTCTTGTGTAATTTTGAGAGTATTTATCTTGGTCAAGTTGTGCTGACTTCATCCATATCTAATACTGCCTTTTTTGGGGAAGGGTGCTACTGCCAACCCTGCCCTCTGTGCCCCTCCTCAGAGGGGCGGAACGGGTGAGGGGGAGAGGAGAGCCATGCAGGGTGGGGTGAGGGGCACCGTGGGCATGGGCCTGGGAGGGGGTGCCCTGGGTATGGCAGGGGCAGCAGTGCCTTGTCCAGTCACAGAGCACACCCCAGCCCAACCAACCCAGCACTTAGAACCAATTCTTATGTTGGGATACTGCCTTCTACATCACTGAAAATAACAAGTGTCCCCTACCTAGAAGAAGAGATCTGGTGGTACAGTGGTTAAAAGTATTTGGCTGCTAACCAAAAGGTCAGTGGTTTGAACCCACCAGCAGCCCCTTGGGTGAAAGATGAGGCAGTCTGCTTCTGTAAAGATTACAGCCTTGGAAACCCTATAGGGAAGTCCTACTCTATCCTATAGGGTTGCTATGAGTCAGAATCGACTCGATAGCAGTAGATTTGGTCTTTGGTTTACTATCTAGAAAGTGATTCCCCCTCTCCCTCCCTCCCGTATCTGATAATCATCAAAGAACAATGCTATCTGTGTGTATATCTATTCTTGACATTTTATAATAGTGGGACCATATAATATTTGTCCTTTTGTGATTGACTTATTTCACTTAGTATAATGTCTTCCAGATTCATCCATGTTATGTTTCACAGACTCCTCATTATTCTTTATAGCTGCACAGCATCCATAATTTCTTTATCCATTCATTTGTTGATGGACACTTAGCTTGTTTCCATCTTTTTGCTACTGTGAATAATGCTGCAATGAACAAAGGTGTGCATACATCTATTTGTTGTCACTACTCTCATCTCTCTTGGATATCCACCTAGGAGTGGGATTGCTGAATCATAAGGTATTTTAATTTTCTAGTGCCATACCATTTTCCACAGTGCTTGTACCAATTTACAACCCCACTAGCAATGCATAAGAATTACATTCTTCCCACAACCTCACCAGCATTTGCTGTTTTCTAATCATTGCCATTTTGCAGGTGTAAGATGGTATTTCATACTGTACTTTTGATTTTGTAATGCTTCAGGCATTTGACTGCTAACCAGAAGGTTGGTGGTTCAAACCCACCAGCCACCCCGCAAAAGAAAGACTGGGCAATCTACTTCTGTAAAGATTTACCACCTAGAAAACCCAATGGGGGTTGCTATGAGTCAGAATTGACTCGATGGTAGTGAGTCTGGTTTGGAATGGGTAATGAATGTGAGCATCTTTTCATGTATTTGTTGGCTACCTGAATGTCCCTTTTGGTAAAGTGTCTATTTGTTCATGTCCTTTGCCTATTTTTTGATTGGATTGTCTTTTTGCTTTGAAGTTTCCTATATATTTTAGAGATTAGACCCTTATCAGACATATTGTTGCTCAAGAATTTTTTTACAGTCTGTAGGTTCTTTTTTTTTACTCTCTTGGTAAAGTCTTTTGATGTATTTAGTTTTCAGGAGGTCCCAGTCACCTAATTTATCTTGTTCATAAATTTTTAGTGGTGTTTGATAGGCCATGTATGCTGAAAATTAGGTCCCCTAGTTTTGTCCTAATATTATCTTCTAGGAACGTCAGTTTTTTTTTTTTTTTTAATTGTGATTTGGGTGAAGGTTTACAGAGCAAATTTACTTTCCATACAGCAGTTCACATATACTTTGTCTCATGACATTGACCACAGTTTACCACAATGCAACAGCTCCCCTCCCACTTCCTCCCCATAGTTACTTCTTCCCTGTGTCCATCTCTCCATGCACTCCTGCCCCTTGAGCTGTCTCCCTGTGCATAAGCAGCCCTTCTTTCTCCCATGATTGTTCTCTCCAAGGAGTGTATCTACTTGAGGTAAATGTTCAACTCATATGCCTGTCTTTTGTTTGGCTGGAAACCACAGGTGTGGGTTCAATTCCAGATCTGAAGGGCAGCTAGGGGCCACAGTCTCAGTGGTCCCACTAGGCTCTATCAGACCAGCAAACCTGGTCCCCCCCCCCTTTTTTTTTCTTTCCAAATGATTTTGAATTTTGTTCCACACTGTTCTTCCTCTCTATCAAAGATCTCCTACATAGATCCCCTTTCAAGTAGATGACAGTGTAGCCGGGCACCATCTAGTTCTTCTGGTCACATAGTCATATAGGCTGCAGATCGAATGGTGTACCAGTCGCTAGGACTAATTGTTTCCATGAATTTTGGTTTTCTTCATTCTTCTTTGCTCTAGACAAGGAGAGACCCATCATTGCATTTAGATGACAGCTTGCTAGCTTTTAAGATCCCAGTCGCTACTCGCCAACATGGAACAATGTTTTATATAGTATGTTATGCTAACTGAGCTTGATGTCCCCTGCGACTATGGTCACAAGCCCGCAGGTTTAACTACTCGGTCCCTCTGGGTAACTGGCTGTGACCAAGCCGTGACCACAACCTTGCCCCTTGTCGGCTCTACTATATACCTGGGAATTCTGATCATTCACACAAACTTATAGGACCATTGTCTGCCAACCCTATATATGTTTTTGGATACACTCCCCATTTCATAGACATACCTAATTGTTCAGCCTGTCCACCCATATACCCATGTTAGCCTTCACTGACAACGGGGTACTGTATGTGCAAAACGGTTCATATTTGTTGTCTGTACCTCCCATGTACCTCTCTATGTCTTTCTCATCCTCAATGCTGCCACACTGGTCACTCACATTTGGTACATTGCCCTTCTCTTCACCCAAATCAATACTTATCTCCATCTATCTAACAGCCTTCCCTCCCTTCCCCTCCCACCCCTGGTAACCAACAAAGAAAATTTCCTTCTACAGATAAACCTTTCCTTAACTTTACAATAATGGACTAATACAATATTTGTCCTTTTGTGATTGACTTATTATCTCAGCATAATGTCCTCCAAGTTCATCCACATTATGCGGTGTTTTGCAGATTCTACATTATTCTTTAGCACTGCATAGTATTCCATTGTGTGTATGTACCATACTTTGGTTATCCATTCCTCTGTTGATGGACACCTAGGTTGTTTCCATCTTTTGGCTATTGTAAATAGTGCTGCGATGAACATGGGTGTGCATATATCTGTTCTTGTCATGGTTCTTGTAGGGTGTATACCTAGTAATGGAATGGCTGGGTCAAATGGTATTTCGAATTCCAACTTTTGAAGGAATCGCCCTACTGCTTTCCACAATCGTTATACCATTTTACAATCTCACCAGCAGTGCACAAGAGTTCCAATCTCTCCACAACCTCACCAGCATTTGTTACTTTCTGTCTTGTTGAACTTTGCTACTAGTGCTGGAGGAACTTCATAGTTTTAGTTTTAACATTTAGGTCTTTGATCCATGTTGAGTTTGTTTTTTTGTGCATGGTGTAAGGTATGGATCCTGCTTCAATTTTCTGCAAACGGATATCCAGTTTTGCCAGCACCATTTGTTAAAGAGACTATCTGTTCATCCTTGAATGGACTTCGAATCTGTGTCAAAGATCATCTGCCCATGTGGATGGATTTACCTCTGGGTTCTCAATTCTATTCCATTGATCTATGTGTCTGTCATTGAACCAGGACCAGTCTGTTTTGATTATCACTGCTATACAGTAAGTTTTGAGATTAGGAAGTGTGAGTCCTTCTACTTTGTTCTTCTTCAATTTTGCTTTAGCCATCCAGAGTCTCTTTCCTTTTCATATAAAGTTGGAGATTAATTTTTCCATTTCATTAAAGAATATTGTTGGGATTTGGATCGGGGCTGTATTATAGCTATAGATCGCTTTTGGTGATCTTGCCAATTCCACAATGCTAAGTAAGTCTTCTAATCCATGAGCATGGAATTCTTTTCTATTTATGTAGGTCCCTTTTAGTTTGCTGCAGTAATGTTTTATGGTTTTCCTTGCATAAGTCTTTGTTTGTCTTCAGTTAGGTTATCCCTAGGGAGAGGTGTTAGTCTCTTAAAGGTTTTGGGAAAGCTTTTAAAATGCTGTCACAGTAGATTCAGAGAAAAATTCTGGATGAGAAGTGTGTTTTCCTGATTAAACAATACGGAATAACTTTCATTCATTCTTTACAAAAAGTATAAGGAAAAAAATTAAAAGGCTCCTTTTCTGTAATTGGCTTTTAAAATTAAAGAGCCAAGCTCTGTAACCTATTTCCAATAATCTTTAAAATTGTTTTTGTGTTTTTAAGTTGTTTTGACAACGTTCATATATCTAGATTTTTTTCCTCTTCAGATTGGAAGTATTCAAGGAAAGAATGAAATAAGATCCAAGTACCCTTTAACTTTTCATTCTGCCTTATTCTATCAGTTTTATAAAGTGGTACTGGTAACTTTCCCCATCCTCTACTATATAGAACAATAAAATAGCATAAAGGTTACAAAAAAGGCTTGCTAGGTACCCCTACGTGGTTGGAATTTTTATTTCTTTATGTATCCCTTAGAGTCACCAGTCTGATACGGGGGGTAAGCAATCCTAGACGAAATACTAAGACTGTCACTATTGGCAGTCATAATACCTTGACTTTTCCTCTCTACTTTTAGGTAGGATGTAATAAAGCTCTAGTATACTAAACTGAAGCATTATTTCTGAGATAATCTGTTTCTGGATCTAATTAAACAACTTGGGGTACATGAGAAGTACCTAACCTTTCTCACAGAACCCACTAAGGTCTAGTCCCAGACCACTGCTAGATTATTTCCATCATCATTTTAAATTCCAATAGTCCATGAAATAATTAGGGATGGCCTAATAAGGGTATGGTTCTTTACTAAGTTCATCCTAACATGTTTTAGATTCTTATTTCTATGGTTAAATACGAACCAATCGGCTAATTTCCTCTTGTCTATCTGGTGCAGATCTTGCTGTTGCCTTGATCATAGTAGAAGTCTGATTGTCAGTTAGCTTCTTGATACATCGTTGCCCTGCCACAATATTACAGACCTACAAATGAAAAAAACGTTTTGATCTAAATGTATTTATCCTTTTTTAAAAACTTTCACTCAATGTCTATTACATATGAAATAAAAATTTTAAATCTACATCATTAAACCTCTTATTTTTAGTATCATGTTAAGTAAAAAAAGTAGTAAACAAAATTGCTTTACAGTGTGATTATAATTAGGTTAAATGTTCACAAGCTATAAAGACTGAAAAGCAGTGTACCGAAATGCTAACAGTGGTTACAGTAGAGTGGTAGGATGATAAATCATTTTTTTTCCATTATTATCTCATCACAGAAAGTTTAGAATAAATTAATTCTAAAAACATTTGGGGTCTTTTATGGTCTATACCCTACATCATACTCTCTTAATTTTGGAGAATGAGAGCTACTATGAAGATAGGTTATAGGCCATAAAAGACCCCAAAATAATGACAATAGAATATTAAGCAGCCTAAAAGCATTACTTCTAGTGGAAGGTAGGTATGTTTCTGCTCCTGCCCCACTTGCAGACAGGGAAGATGCGGGTACTTCAGCTGAAGAGTATACTTTTCTCTGAAATACTGTGCTACTGTTCTCTCCACAGTTTGGCCATTTTCTAACTGTAAAGGAAAACTGGGGGGAAAAAAGCACACATTATTATCAATTCTTATCCATTATAAGCCAGCCAAAACTCCCAATTCTCTAACTAGAGCAAGCTGCCTCACATCATCTCTGCTCTGATAAACACCAGTTTTTCTTACGTTTGATGACTGGCAGGCCTTCTTGTTACATTACAAACACGGTATTTCCGTCTCATTGTTCCACAATGAGTCACTTCAACCTTCAGACCTGTTCCCAACAAGAAAAACTGAGGTTATAGAACCATCATATGTAAAAGTATTTATACTTATAAAGCCTGTTCACTACTATAAAAACTCAAATAAATTCTGGACAGAAAATGTGTAATACAAGCATTGGCATATTAACAAAGCATTTAATATAACATTGCTAATAATAGCTATAATCACGATGGACCTAACTCCAAGCCTTTTCCTACTCTATCAAACTCTGTATGTTAAAAATATAGAATAAAATTTGCAAAGCTTGTAAATTCAAAAACAAAGTATTCCATTAATTAAAAAAAAAAAGTAATAAATTTAGATATTTATGGTGGAGAGGGAAGGAGAAATGAAAGAGAAGTTGTAATAATTCTCAAAATAGTCTATAACCTTCTAAGTATGTGATATTTGAAAAGCCCACTAATCACATACTGGCTGAAGATCAGAATTTCATAAGGCTGAAGAAGGAAGTCCTTCAAAGATTAAGCAGGGAGAAAAAAATCCTGTCTTATAATAGAATTGGAGCAACAATTATATTAAAGCATAATACAGTGATTCTTTACACAGTTCTTTTACTGTTGACTGACCCCTTTGAGAATCTGATGAAAGCAATAAACTCCCAGGAGGGGAAAAAAAAAAAGCAAAACATAATTTAGCCTGTGATTGTAGGTGTTCCTTGAATCCTACAACCTATCTATGGATCCTAGGAGTTTGAGGACACCAGGTCTGCTCTATAAAGTGATGGGCCTTAAACCCATTAGGCTTTATTCTGAAATTCTTTGGGATCAGTTTTCTTAAGTGGTGATATCTAACAGAATTTTCTGACATGATAGAATGTCTACATCTCTGCTAATGCAATAATCACAAGCAATATGTCATTGCTAAGCACATAGTTAGGAGCTCTGGTGGTGTAGTGCCTAAGGCATTTGACTGCTAACTAGAAGGCTGGCAGTTCAAACCCACCAGTCACTCTTCAGAAGGAAGACTAGGCAATATACCTCTGTAGAGATATTGCCTCAGAAACCCAAGAAGGAGTCACTATGAATTGGAATCGACTTGATGGCAGTGAATTTGGTTTTCTGAAGCACACAGTTTTGGTGTGAGTAAGCAACTCAGTTTATAATTTTACTTATATTTAACTTAAATTTAATTAGCTACATAAGGCTAGTATTGGATAGTGCAGTCTTGGAGCTATCTAATGAAGAGTTAACAGATAGGTACGTATGGTCATAGATCACCAATTTCATTTTTAAACGTTTGGCTTAACTTCAAAAGAGGAAAATTTAAAAAGTGGTAGATGGAGGATAACTTTTAGCTCCCTGACAGAATTTATGATTACTACTCTTTGTTATTTCTGTTTTAGATTTGTGAATCCTACAGTGAAAATGTTATCAATTGTGGCAATTTTGCCCACCCCAGGGGACATCTGGTAACATCTGGAGACATTTTAAAGAGCTCTGGTGGTACGGTGGTCTAGGCATTCAGCTGCTAACCAAAAGGTTGGCAGTTTGAACTCACGAGCTACTCTGCAGGAAAAAGATGAGACAGTCTGTTTCCATAAAGATTTACAGCCTTGGAAACCCTATGAGGTAGTTTTACTCTGTCCTAAAGGATTGCTATGAGTCAGAATTGACCCAATGGCAGTGGGGCTGGAGACATTTTTGATTATCATGACTGGAGGACATTATTAGCATCTAGTGGGTGGAGGTCAGGGATACTGCTAAGTATCATATAATACACAGGGCAGACCCTCTCTTCCCAACAAAGAATTATCCAGCACAAAATGTCAACAGTGTAGAGACTGAGAAATCCTGCTATAGTGTAATTTATTTTCCTAGTTACTAGCCATAGTACCAAACACAAAGTTCACTCGTGAAAGTGATATTTTCTTTTTTTGTATCAGATGTGAATGAAGATTATTAAATGGTCACAATATCCCTGCACCAAATTCACAAGTATTTTTTGAGAAGCATTCCTAAATGAATCAGTGAGAAGTAGTTTCTCATTCTTAGTTATTTTGCATTTAAAAACTAATATTTCAGACCAATTAGAGAATTTACTATGCTTTTATATTATAAAGGACTGAGAAAATAAGAATACTATCATGCGAAGTCCTTCTAAGAAGGGAATACCAACAAATTACATAAACAAGATGTACAAATACTATATTTAGGGGGAAAGCACAAACTTTAAACAAATTTCTATTATTTAAGCCACTTAGTAATTTATTTTCAAGGCTTCTCTTAAATAAATTATTAATATGGTTCTGCAAACGTACTAAATAAGCTTTTATGAAAAATAAATTGGTACTCTTAATATCCATGATACTTTTTACCATACATTCCCATTATTTCTGCTGTTTAACTACTGGACAGAGAAACCATCCCCCAAATTACTATTAAACATTTACGAAAAAGTCTGGTTGGAATAAAATTAATATACTAAGAAACTCTATTAATTATAGCATACTTTATATGAATACTTAACAGCTGTCAAAAAAATCCTATTGGCTAAAAATTAAACCCAAATATATAGCATAGAACACATAACTTGAGTTTTCTCGAGTTACTGTGATAGGAATACATGATGTACTTTAAAAAGTCCTCATGACTTTGAATGGGGGAACAAAGCATGAGTTTGTCAATTAGATCCAACCCCAATTTTTCTACCCCACATCTAGGACCATAGGCATCTAAGAATTAGATCAAAATCCAAGGGTTAGCAAAAAGTTAAAATTCAAAAAAAAAGTAGACTAGGTAATTCTTTGCCCAGGTCCCTCCCCAAACCCTCCATCCAACAAGAAAAAAATTTTGGCTTTAAGAAATCAAATATTTAACCTATAAACTTGGCTTTACCTTCACTATAACATCAACTTTATAATGCTTTCTAGTCATTTTTTCAGTCATTTCTTTGGGCCCCTGAGCAGTTGAAGTTAAGATCGAGTCCATGCTCTTCGGGCAGCAGTTGAATCCTTGTTCTGTACATCTTGTATTTTCTGTGATAGAGTGGTGATATGAGTTGATTGCATAGTTACCGCAAAATAATGTAAGTGATTTAATGATATCAGAGGTGGTAACTAAGCAGCAACTCCACTGGAAACCATGGCATTTAGATGATCACATATTAATGGTATAGGTAAATGCACTACCTCCAGACAATGCTAACTGTGCAGTTAATACAGAGTATGAAAGGACAATGGTATGGTTGCAAAACAGTTATATATAAGTTTCTCATTTTGGACTTAAGCAACTTGAGAAAAATGGATGCTTATTTTCAAAGAAGGACGGGCTTTCCTTTTAATGTTTCATTACAATGACTCTCTCTTTCTCAGTTACAGAATGGCAAAGTATGAATGATTATCAGAGCAAGCAGGATGTATTCAGCTACTCTAATTTGATTTGGGGAATCTGAAAGATGGTCAGTGAATAAACTTGAATGCTTCATTGAAACCACAAGCTGAAAATTATCTGCAACAAATAGGTAAAATCTTAAAATAAAATAGCATAATTATTTCTAGTTATTTAAAATCTAACAATATAAATAGAATTTACACTATTCACTCTGATTAGAGAGAATATCTAATTTTTCCCCATGGTTAAATAATAAAAAACTAAGTACAGTGGAGTCATATCGTGCATGAAGATTACGTTCTAGTTATAAACAAGGCAAGAACTGCATTTACAATTATTCTTGAAAAATCCCTTATATTGCTGATAAGTTATTGTGTATGTGGCTTTGGAGGTAAAACTATATATGATATTTCAATGTGGAAAGGAATGTACATATATATAAAAAGTATGTATGAAATATAACTTCTAGAATGATATTAAAATTACTTCTTTTTCTTTTCAGAGACCATGTATAGATTAATCCATGTTAAGTTAACTGCATATACGATGTAACACCACTGTATAGACTTTAGCAACCAAGTAAAATAGGCAGGATTAATGGTCATCTCTGTAATGTACGTTAAGTTCCAAATCTAGAATAACACAGGAAATAGGCTAGACCCAGAGCCACAAATTTTCAAAAGAATAAAATAAATAAACCTATCATTTTGGAAAAACAAAGAAGTCATAATATTAGAATATGTTCAAAGAATTATTCTACTTCTGAAATAACAATGGTTTTGGAATAAGCTCATTTTTAACAGTATTATAGAAGCATTTTCCTATGAAACACTTATCCCTTCAGTAAGGGAAAGTATTAACAAAAAAATTCAGATGGTAGCACACCAATTCCATTATTTAGCATTTATTTCAAACACTGCTTAAGGTATTATAATATGAATTTAATGTAATATTTTATAATTGATTTATATTTTTACTGGTGACATTATACAAATAGATGTTAATTATGAAGAAATAGTTTGATAAAAGTTTATTATAATCATGCATTTTATAGTTAAGTTGTTCTAAATGCTAATTAATTCACCTTTTATCTCTTTGGTGAATTTTACACGATGAGAATCAGTCAGAGGTCTTGGTTGCTCATCAATGTTATGAATGTCAAGAACTTCACACATGAACTGAATTACAGGTTGTGCTTTGTAGAAGGCAGTGGCAGAAACTAAAGAAAAACACAAACAGCACAAATTAATGTTTTCCTAAAGAAATTCAGAAACTTCATTTTAGGTTCCATGATAATTATGTACCTTTATAATTAAAAAGATCCTTTATATATATATTTGTATACTGTATATGTATGTACATACGTATATGCTACATGTATGTGTATGCATGTATATATATGTATATATGTGTGTATATATATATATATATACCCACTCCTCATTTACTGGCATAGTTAGATCCCAAAGACCAGGTCGTTATGCAAAAATCAGTGTCATACAAAAATGAGAGATGACCACATCAGATTACAAAATGGAAGATGACTACATCATTACACAACCGTCAAATTATATCATTACATGACTGCCAAACCACCAAGAATCATGGCTCAGCCAAAGTAACGTATTACCTTAACCATCACAGCCAGTGTTACTCTCATCTCACACCTCAGCGTTCATTACTGACAGATGTATGTTGTTAATGTGCAATACAATTAGATTTTTTTACTACTGTCATAAAGCAAAATGTCAGATAACAAGATAATTGGTAAGTGAAGAGTAGGGGTATATACATACATAGGAAATTTCCAAAACTAAACTAAGTTTCAACTCGACCTCTGTTTGATTGCAAGACAGCCACGAGAACAGAGGTCAAATACTACAGTTTTTAGACTCTATCTTCCACATAATGGCAAATAAATCATTCCATTCTATATTACATGTATAGAAAAGTGTTCCTAGCTACAAGATTCTATATGCCCTATATGAGGACAAAGAAGGCCAGGCACCTTTGGCAGATCAGAAGGATAGGTATTCTTTCTTAAACAAGGCTTTCTACACCATTCTAGACTATTTACCTACTCTGGTGAAAGCTTTCCATGTGTTGGTATAGATTTGAAAAGGCAGTGATATTTATCTAACACTGTTGGTACTAATCCAAGCTACAGGGAATAATAACACTAAGGGGCATCTGCCCAGTGTTACTGTGTTACATACAGTTGGTGATTTTCTATTACGCAACCAGCATGCTTTCCTTACCTTGGGTTTTGGAACTAGAAGAGCTTCAGAATGGTTAGTAAATCACCATCAGTCATTTCTTAAACACATAACTTAACACTGACTGCTTTTATGTGCTAAACCAAAACCAAACCATTTGCTATTGATTCTAACTCATGGCAACCCTTGTTACTTGCACAGTAGAATGGTGCTCTGTAGGTATTTTTTTTCTTCTTTTGTAGTTTGGGTGAAAGCTTACAGAGCAGATTAGTTTTCCATTCAACAATTTACACATATTTTGTTTTGTAACATTAATTACAATTCCTTAAGGTACTTGACTGCTAACCAGAAGGCTGGCAGTTCAAACCCACCAGCCACTCCTCAGAAGGAAAGGTTGGGCAATCTGATACTGCCTTGGAAACCCAAAGAGAGGTCGCTATGAGTTGGGTTCGACTTGACAGCAGTGGGCTTCTAGGTAAGAGCACTCTTCCTACTTCCTCTCTCTGAGTTCCCCACTTCCACTCGTTCTTCTTTCCTGCCCCTTCTTGCCTTCTGAGCTTTGTTTTTGGGCAAATGCTGCCTTTTTGGTTCCACATGGTTGACTGTTCTGAGAAGTATATTCCTCACTAGCGTTACTGTTCAATTTATAGGCCTACTGTTTGGCTGAAAGCTGATCCTCGGGGGTGAGTTCAGTTCCAGCCTTGAAGGATATCTAAAGGCCATGGTCATTCCATAAGGTTTAAACAGCTGCTACCTTTTCAACCGACTTGACGGCACATAACAACAACAACAAACAAAACCTTTTCAAAGTAGATCACCAGGCCTTTCTTGCGATGCATCTTTTGGTAAGTAGCCAAGCGCTTAACTGTTTGCATTACCCAGGGACTTCTTTTATGTGCTAAGCACTGTATAAAGACACCAGGGATACAATGAAATGTAAAACCAAAACAGATAATAAACTACATGCTATCAAGTTATGTTTTCACTCAAAAAACATGTCCACTGTTGAGCTAAGTGTCCTTCATAAAATGTCTCTTACCTCTGGAAAGATATTTATCAAAGCTTTAACAGTGGTTACCTCAGACTATGTGTGCATAGTTGGGCTTACCATGGGTACTTTTTATTTTCTTCTTGTTATATTTATCTGTAGAGCATCATCATTTTTGTAGTTAGCACATAATAATTTTCTTCTCTTTATTAAAGAAAAAATATGTAAATAAAGTCTCATCATAAAAAATTCAAAGTCTCCTTCAGTAGTCCCAACCTCATCTCCTCAAGTATCTTTAAGAAGTAACATTTTAATAGTTAGATATGTATACATATTATCCTTTTAATATGTACTCACAAAAAATGTACATGTAACTTTGTTAAATAAGAAATTAGATGACAAATGCTCTATACCTCTTTCATTGTTATTTTTTAAACTAACAAGAAGTCTTAGAGATCTTTCCATGTCAGTACATACATGGCCTCCATAGTCCATAGTATGGGTGGATGATAATGAAGCGAATATATACTTCCTCTTTCATGTTACAAAAAAAAAAAACCCACAAATGGTACAACATTAGAAACACTTTTCTGGGCTTTGATTTTTCTTTTCTTATTATATTATTAGAGATAGAGCTTTATGTACTAATATGGTAACTAATGTGGTAACATTCTTTTCATGATCATAGGGTATCCCATTGTAGGGATATACTTCATGTCCCTAATGATGAATATTTACATTGGTTTTGGTTTGTCACTATTACAAAAATATTCCAATGAATATTTAAGAGAAATTGATATTCACTGGTAAACTTTCATCCAATTAGGTTTGAGAAATATTCCTAAATTTTCTTACAGATTAAAAAGAGACTGATAAGATTGTAGTAACATTATCTTATTCAAATCTATAGTAGTAAAAAATGTATACACTGTAATGTATTCTTCTATTGTGAAAATGTGGGTGTATATATATATATATATATATATATAATATATATCTATCTGGCAGGATACATACCAAATTTAAGTTATGTATTCATATTCTTTAAGTTCAGGGCTAATTTTTAAAAAATAAACAAGGATAACGAATATATGGTGAATAACATGCTTATTTTGTTTTTTCTTTAATGCTACAGGTAAATTTCCTTCACTGGATTATCATAACATTAGCATCCACAACTACAGACTTTCACATCAGAGTTGCAACGTGCTAGAATTAGTTCTCCTGTTTAACTCACTCTTCTACTACTTTTCCCTACTGGTTATCCCACTAGTCTTCTAATCATCTTACTGTTTACCATCTTTTCTACAGGAAGGTGGGCATTTGAGGCAAATATTAGTGTTAGTAATAAAAAGCTCTTCCAAAAATTGGGTTAAAATCAGTGAATACAGCTTTGAGTTAGTTACAGCCCCCGCAAGTAAGATCCGCTTACTCCAACAATCTTTAATATTTTATACACTACATATAGGTGCATCTTATTTCTTCTTCTCCTTACACAATTAGCTATTTTTTTAATCAAAACTGTAATGTTTATGTTAAACATTTAAAGATCTACTGATAAAATACACTACATTAACATATTGAAAAAAATAAATACAGATCATCTCCATAGACGACTGCTGCAAAAAAAGCATTTGATAAAATCCAGAACCATAGCAAATACAGCTCTTACTGGACCAGAACTAGAAGGGAACTTCTACACTCTGATAAAGTTATCTACCAAAAATCTACAGTAAGTACAACTTAATTTAACAGGAAATCCTTGATAGCACAGCAAGGCAAGTAAAGAGAAATAAAAGAAAGATTGGAAAGGGGGAAACAAAATCATTATTTTTTACGGTATGACTGTCTATATAGAAAATCCAATAAAATCCATAAATTACTGGAATAAGAGAGTTCAGCAAGGTTGCTAGATTTAAGATCAACACAGAAAAATTTACATTCTTATACATGAATAACAAACTTAAAATCTAACTTAAAAAAGATACCATTTTACACAAAAGATACAAGGCATCTGGGATGAAATCTATAGAAAAGACTGATAGAAGCAATAAAACCAAACCCAAACCCAATGTCGTTGAGTCTATTTTGACTCACAGTGATCCTACCAGAATAAAACTGTCCTATAAAGTGTCTAAGGCTATAAATCTTTACAGACACAGACTACCAAAACTTACTCCCGTTGTGCGGCTGGTGGGTTTGAAATGCAGACTGTTTTTGATTAGCAGCAGAATGCTTTAACCACTGCACCACCAGGGTTCTTTGTTAGGAGCGATAAATATTATTATTGAAAAGCATTTCAGAAGACCTAAATACACTGAATAATAAACTGTTTATGTAAATTATCTCCAAAATAATTTGCAAATATAAAGCAATTTCAATCAAAGTAAACAAGGTTTTTAAGTACTCTCCTCTTCCCCTGGAACTTGAGAAGCTAATAGTAAAATTAACATGAAAGAGCAATGAGACAAAAACAGCCAAGACAATTTTTAAGAGTAATGTCTGCCTTATCAGACATCAAGATTTGTTATAATACTATTTGCCATGGTTTATGTCATGTGTCAACTTGGCTAGGCTACAATTCTCAGTGGTTTGGCAGACACTATGTAAACCACCTTCCATTGTGTGAGCTGATGTTAGCAGTCAATCAATTGGAAGGGGAGTTTCCTTAGGGGTGTGGCCTGCATCCAGTATATAAATGAATGCTTCACAAAGGTTACTCTCTTCTTAACCCTGCACCCTTCTCATCGCCTGATATCTAGTCCTTGGAATATAAGCTTGCAGAAGCCTGCCACTTGACTTACAGATTTTTGATTCACCAACCCCTGGAACCCTGTGAGTCAGCAGAGGCCTCTAGTCTGCTGCCTAACCTGCAGATTTTGGGTTCCTCAGCCCCCGCAAGCAACGACTTAAGCCAGCAGAGGTCTTCAGCCTGTTGTCTGATCCATGGATTTGGGACTTGCTGGCCCCCACAATTGTGCGAGCCATTTTCTTTAAGTAAATTTCTCTCTATAT